CTGTAGCTATCTTAACCACTTCCACTAGATTATACAGAGGAGTGAATATTTTCATTGCTACACTTGTCTGTTCTTTTCCTTTCAGGGTCCCTTATCTCATTTCATCAGAATCCTGCTCTGTGAAAAGTGTTGCCCAGATAGGTGTGCTTTTATCAAACGTGGATGTTTTTTCCCAGATGTCAGAAGGAGAGGCACCAGCTTATGCAGGAGCCTACTCATAATACCAGTTCAGAGTTGATGCTCAGCTATCTGGTTGGGTTGAGCGTGGCCCTTCTTTTTGATCAATATTGGTTCAGTACATTGTTTGTGAAAGAAGAAGGTTCATTGTCTCCTGGTAATTCCGAACACAGAGTGCTCCCATCCTATTGAGCCAAATTTGTTCTACATCCTCCTCATAATTCCGAAGAATTTATCTTGCCCGCTCGGTTAGGAAGTGAAGATGGATGTTCATAATTCCATGCTGGATGAGTTCTGTTTCCTCAGGTTGAGTATGGCATACAAGATCCCGCCATTCTGAGCCTGTGATGTTGACTTTTTCAGGTTGAGAAGAAGGTTTGTTTACCCACATTTTGCTTACCTTCTCGTCATGATTCTGGTTGGCTACAGGTTGAGATCCACTCATAAGTATATGTATATATATATATTGCAGTTCAATTGCCTTAGCCACCAATGTGGGATATAGGGATCATGACCCTATAATTCTAAACATGAGAAGTAGAACCTTGGCTATCTGGTTGGGGCCTGGCCAGTAGTGATGATAAATCATGTAAAATTCCACCCACAGTACGTGAATAAAGTTCCGGGTGAAGAGCATACCCATGAGGGTAACCATCTTCTGTTGACACACCCATGATCTATACAGACGCTTTCTTTTATGGATAATGCTCTCACCGGTCCTTCCACCTTATCAATGTGGGATTCTAGCTGTAGTGTGAGAGAAGATAAGTATGTTTTGGTAGTTAAATTTTCTTAAATCAAAAATATATTTCCAGTAATACTTACCTCTCACTCTCCTGCCCTTTCTTCCCACTAAGAGCCAGTGTTAAAAACTACAAATTGAATCAGTCTCCAAAAACGATAATATTATCTAAATAAGGTGCTGATATACAGTACCATGATAGAGGGTGCACTGAAGTAGGTGGAGAGTGTCATGAGACAAATATCGCCAAGGGCAATTAAGTGGAGTATAAAAGACTGGAGTGAGCAAGAAAAGATCAGACCAATGCTCAGATGGGCAAAGGAAGAAACCCTGGCAGTCGAGTAATAGTTGTTGTGTGAGAAAGGGTAAATATTATTGGAAATACATTTTTGATTTAAGAAAATGTTAACTTTCAGTATCAGTGGTGGGCAGAACATAGATAGCCCTTTGTTTATAACAGCATAACAGCAACCAAACAAAACTTCTACTGTCTAACATAAGAGTAGAGTGTTTACTGTTTAAACTGTGTGAGTTTGTAGGATTAATATTCCTATAGTGCAAACAAAGACTAATGTTTATGAATATACAAATTAAAATTTAAATCAGCCATGTAAATATAACAATGTTAAGTGCAATAGAAAGAAAGCGACATGGTAAATGTAATATGTAGTGTACCTAACACTGTACTCTAGCTTTAACAGATCTCTGACACTTAACAAATGCATACAGCTGCTACAGGAAGTAATAAATAACGATAAATCTTCTGTAAAAGCAGGAAAGGAAACACAATAAACTTGTAGAAAGTTCAGTAATAATAATAAGATTTGGAAAGGAAAGTTACAACACTAGTTAATATGGCTAAGAAAGTAATTATTAAAACTAATTTAATTAAACTAATAACATAATATATATACAAAACTGCTGCATCTCTAATATTAACTATATATATATCAATAACAGGACGTAAAGCTAATGGTGGTCTATATACTAAAGTGATTTACTATTACCATAAACAATATTAAAATGAATTAAACTATAGAAGTGAGAGCTTTTAAAAGGTTGTGATCCTCTGTAAAACTTCTAAACCCATAATATTTATCAATAATATTGTTTAATTTCCCACAGAAATGAATGACTAGTGTTTAAAATGTGCAATGAGGAATTTCATTTGTGGAAAATAAGAGTGAGTTTATGATCTCTGACCACAAAGTCCTGTAACGTTGGATAAATACTATCGTATCTAATAAGCTTTATGTAGAAAGTTTTACTATAGTGTTTCTTATTAGGGTTTGTAATATATGATAATTATGTTATAAATAACTACAAATCTGCAACTTGTGAGCTGAAATTACTTTCCACTGGAATTCCCTGTATCTTTTGGAAAACATGCTGGCCAAATTTAACAAATGTATTATCAAGTAAAGAATTTATTAAAGTAATTTAATTAAAAGTTGAATGTAACAGTGTAAAAAAGTTATGATGTGCACATTTTGACCCACCCATGTGCATAGGGTTAATTGCATGTTTGAGATAAAAAGGAAAAGCTAGAGAGTCTAGGGTCATGCTTCCGTGGAAGTTTTGAAGGAAGCAGGATGAAATAATGTAGTTTCCTGCTCTCTATGCAACATAGCAACTCCAAACAAGGTTTACAGTAGTTTCCTCAATCTACTGTACACATCCATGTTCCCCTTGCATCATTTAACATGGTTATTTATAATATATAAATAAAAATCAAATTGGCTGATATTTTGTAAAGCAGTATAATTACTTTATAGAATTGGGTAGCAATAGAAGGGTCCTGAAATCAGTAGCCACTTGCATGAATTGGTAAGGCTGGCAAATATGAGTTAAAGGAACAATGTTATTTTTTTTTTTTTTTTTGTATTTTACAGCAAGGTTTATTTTCAAAATCACTTGTAAAGTACAGCAAAATTAAAAATATTTTCTCTTGCCAATGCCAACTTTGTGGTTCTCAAGTACAGGTATGAAATATTATACAAAGAACATGTGATAGTATCTTGAAAGCTTAAACTACTATCATTATTTATAGAGCTAATTTCAATGTTCATCAAAAGCAAGGTGTAACATATTATATGAATTCCTTAACTTTTGTTCTATTAATTATTATCTGTAATAGAAAATGAGAAAATAATGAATCTAACAAAAATTGACCAGTTTATCTTACTGCTCCAATACTTCATTGTCTGAATTCTTCCAATATAATTAAATATGAACTTTGTATTATGAATTTACAGCTATAATTTAGATGTAATGTATGTTGTTTACTAGAATGAGATTGTACTGGAAAAATAAATTAGACTAATCCACAGAAGAAAAAAAAAAATTGTACCCAAAGTTTTATTTTAACAAGGAATGATTATACCAACATGATCTACAACTGCCTTGTATATTGGTATGTGTTTGTTCTTTTATGTAATGAACTGTGAGCTTTAGGCATGAGTTGGCCCCCTGTGTTAGAACTTTGTATTTCAAAGCTGGTTATTCAGGTTCTGATCCATGCAATGCTACATAATATTCCCCACACTTTTAAGCTTTGGGTTTGTTATAAAACTGACAGTCAGTTCCTTATTGTAGCTAGTGGGTGGTAGGATGATGCTGACTGGCTGCCTTCCCTCTGGTCAGTATACTTCAAAATTAAGCACAGCTTTGCCATAAGTACAAATATACGGAGCCCATGTTCACTATGACCAGGAACATTGAGAGCCAGCATGGGCCCCGGGGGAAAAAATTTTGGCCGGGCCCCCTTTCTTTCTCTATTTTTTAACATTATCAAGAATTTATTAAAAATAAAATCCTAAATTAGGACAGCAACGAGCTCATAAACCAGACAAAATCATAGCAGCCATCGTTTTTACATCACAGTATAAGTGTAAAAACGTTAATAAAGTAACAACAAATATCTATTAAATCTATCAAGTAACAAATACATATTAATTATTACTCAAATTATTATTTCAGTCGTTCTTAATGTATCAAGCATCTGTATGCAAAGAAAAGCCAAAAACTATGGTTTTTATCATTAAATGAAGATATAGCCTAAAGATGCTTCGCGGGCTTTACGACATAAAAAGGTTTCATTCGCTCAGGCTCCTGGGCAGTTGCTCCCCTTTGCCCCCCCCCCCCCTGTCGGTGGGGCTGACTATGACTGTACTTCTTATTTCTTTCCAAAGAAAAGAAAATACTAACCAGTAACCATAGTAATCTCACCTTTTATAGGCAAAACTTATGTTGTATAATACATAGCTAAACTACAATAATAGTCAGTTTACAGACTTAGATATTTGTTTTAATATCAGTCTAAATAATAGTACCTGGAGCAGTAGCACCCTTATTCATAGCTCTGAACATCAAAACAATTTGAATGAAAATAATCTGCCAATATGTATTAACTGAGAAAGTTAAGATGTAACTTAGGCTTGGCATAGTCTGCAGATTTATAGCTTGAAACCTGGCACAGATCATGCTTGCTCTTTCAGCTGTGGGGGTGTTATATAGTGATGGTCAGTCCCACTATTTGTAGGTAAAAGATTACTCCAAGAGTTGGCTGTTGACCAGTTGCTTTCCCTCATGTTTAGGGACAGTAGCATTGTTAGTAAATTTATTATTTCTTATTAGTTTAAAAATAGTTTTTTTTACCTTTGGCAAGTTTTTATGGGTCAGATAAATTAGTTTTTCAGTTTTATTGTTTCATGAGGTTACATTGTAGCTTTTAGCTCAAAACTATTTCAACAAAAATCGTCTGTAAAGGACTTGCTGTGGCATTCGCATTATTTTTCATTAAAATGAAAAACAATGCACCTATCAAAACTAAGAAGATGCTGATCAATTATATTTAGCAAAATGTTTTGACTGAGTTTACACTCATATGTAGCACTTTTTACTTGCTATGGTTTTACTACAAAGTTGGATTATTTAATTTTTATATATTAAAAACAGTATAGATGAATCTGATGAAAAACCTTTGCTGTACAATTCTTATTTTATGATGATAAGTAAATAAATATATATATTATTATAACAACAACAACAAGATATAATTCTTTAATTTGGTTTCTTCTAGGTGACAAAAGGTGAAACACTTACCTAAAGATGAAAATCTACAAGGTTTTGCAAATTTAAAATTCTCCCTTTTCTTATAGAAATATAAAGACCAAATGATTTTGTAAGAAACTGTATTTACAAGTGCATGTATTTCAACTGCTCACTTATTCAATGAAAGTAATGTCAAGTCTTGTTTAAAGAAGAATTACAGGAATTTTGAACATGAACAATGAAAGTAACCAAGGTGTAATATTTAGTAATCAAGAAGTTTGGTACATAATATATTATAACCCCAAGTGATTCCAAATGTTTTTACTAGTGAGTTTTGCTAACATTAGAATAGCAGTTCATGCAGTAATGAATTATTTTTTTTTTATCTCTGAATAATTTTATTATTTAAATTTTATGAAAACGTTTATTATTTATAGGCACACTTTTGAAGTTAAGATACAAATATTTAGTATCTGCTTTTTCAAACTCATTCTTGTTTAAATACACAGTTTTAAACTTTAATGCACAATGAATCACTAACCTTTGTTCTCTATTACAATAGTTTTTCAAAAAAAAAGTAGGATTATTACCAGATACTAAAGCAATCAGTGTAAACATTTGTTAAGTAGGTTAAAACCAGTAACACTAAACTGTGGAAATCAGTTTAAAATGATTTCCAGTTAAATTCAGTTCAAAAATAGAAAATATACACTAATAGAAGGCATTAGTCTAAACATGTGTTAGTTTAAGAATCCCACCAACATAATATTGATGAAATCAGTTTAAACTGGCTTCTATTTAAATAAATTTTCAAAAAAAAAAGAAGCATTAATTCCAGATTGTTGAAATCAGTTTAAATTTACTTTTGGTTAAGTGAATTAAAAAACAACAAATAATATCAGACTACAGAACACAGCCTAAATTTTCAGCTAAACACTAATACCACAACATAGAAGTTGTTTTGTAATCATTCTAAGTTAAACAAGTTTTATAAAGAGAAGTACTGATACCATACAATTTAGAACATATGTTTATACAGCCTTTCAGTTCAACAAGTTTCGGACAGATGAATATTACTGTTACTATGTCTCCTTCTTAGCATTTGTCCTGATTACTTGGGATCTGCTTTTCTGGTTCTTGTTCTCTACTCCTTCCTGTTCTGTGTTAGAGATACATTCACACTGCATTTTTTTTCACATCCTCTCTCACTACATGCATCCACCTTTTCTTTGGTCTTCCTCTTGTCCTTTCCACTTTCATATTTATCACTCTCCTACCAACATACTTCTCTTCTTTCCTCATGACTGAGCTCTTATTAGGTAACAAATTTGCTTGAGTTACATATAGTTTGAAATAAAAACATTCAACAAAATTAATGGTGTTTTTCAGACACAAAACGAATTAGCGTGAAGTCACTTTAGTTGAGTAACTTTTCTTTAGTAAAAAACAAAACACAACTCAATTCTATAGTAATCCATTTTTACTCACTTTCATCTTGGTAAGTTTTAACAGAAAGACAGTTTTAACTCAAGTTCAACAGAACAAGTGGCACATAAATAAGTTGGAAGTAACTTCTAGTTATTCTAACAGAGTGACTTTTTCTAAACTATAACTTTTAAATAGGAAAAAAAACTGCAATTTAGACATATGAAGTATTTGTTTTGAATATATATTATTTTTATGTGTGTTAAGGATGGGAGTATAAATATGTTGCTTTTAATTTACGATGTTGATGAGCACCACTAACAATTTCACAGATTTCTGACCTTAGTTGTTGAGGTTAATTGTATGCTTAATCTTTCTGTATAGTTTTTGTTCTTGTGATTAAGATATTTGCTGGCTTGGCAGATTCTATTAGCACTGAAACCATTTTTTTACACTGTAAAAAGGAAAAAGCTTTTGCTGTTATGTCAGTATCTTGTACAGTTTTATTTTAATTAAACCATTCACCATCTCTTTGTATGAAATCTATTGATTGCTTGTTTAAAGCCATTCTCTCATAAATGTACAAACTTTTTTAAAGAATAAACATGCAAAGAATAATTTAGTTAGCAAAATGTATCATTACAAAGGTAAGTATTTTTAATATCATTGCAGGAGATCTTCTGTGACATCTAGACACATTTATGAGAAGTTTGAATTGCTCTAGCTTATTTGAAGTCTGAAATACAAATAAGAGATCTTATTGCACTTGTAATATATCTCAATTCCAAGCCTCAAAACTTTCTTGAACTCATTGCCATAACTTGTATCTGAACAATAGAAATACCTGTTGTCAACAGCATTCCTTTCCATTCTCATGAACTGTATAATGTAGGTCTCTTCCAAGACAAGTTTCAAGAGGTAGCCATTCAGAATAGCCTGGAGCAAAAAAATAAATGTTTCACAATTAACCTATAACTGAGACTGAGGAGTCCACAGGGTTGTACTTAATGTAAACTATAACTGCAAATCCAGTTCAATATGAATTTGTAATTAAGTGCAGAACATTTGCATGCAATTTTGAAAACATTAGAAGAATATACTAGAATAAAAATCCATTCAATTTCTAAGTTATGAAAGCATTACAACCATAATACCTGCATATTACAATGGAATTAATAGCATTGATGAAGGGTAAAAAAAAAGGAAGAAAACTTGGGATAAAAATAGCTGCCCAAAATAACATTTTTTAAAGAAGAAAAAATAATATAGATTTAGTAATGGCTGCAAAGTCTAAAACACTGGCAATCGATAATAAAAATAATTCAAGATCTATTATTACTGTACTAAGAAGTAATGAGTGTAGATGCTAAAATACTGGCAATAGATAAAATGCAATTAATTCTAGAAATACAGGTACTCTGAGTCACAGTTACCCCACACATTTAGCATTCTTGGACCACGTTGGGATGATAAGTCATGAAAAAATGTGATGAAATAATCATTTCTAATAAACACTGTACAGATAAGAGACATTTCTCTATTGCTATTGGAGATCCAAACACCACAAGATTTATCATAGAACATAAATTCCACAAACTACATGAATACGCTTGGACCTGGAGACAAACAACATAAAATGAAATTTCAGTACCATGATCAAATCAGAAATAATGCCACTAACTAGAAGGCTATGTTTAAAGATAGATGCTAACAACTTCATATGAGATTTACAACTTCATACCCAAGTCAGAAATAACACTACTAACAGCATGGTTATTCTTAGAGCTTGGGACAAACAACATCAAATTAAACTTAAACAACATGACCAAGTCAGAAAGTAACTACATAGTTATGTTTAGAGCTGGAGAATAATCAGTATCTATGCTTAGAGGTGGAGATAAATGATGCAAAGAGATTTACAGCACCATGACCAGGTCAGAAATTAACTACTTGGTTAATAATGGTTGGATGATGACAAAACCTTGTCAAAACATTGTACATTTGCTGTTATGTTAAACTTGTATTAAAGTTTTTCTTTATTACCCATTCAAGCCGTCTCCAGCCATTATTAGTCTCAAAGTGGGTTCCTCGTCATCGAATTTAACTACTTGGTTATTTTTAGAGCACCATGACTGTTAGAAAATATATGGTTATGCAGAGAGCTGAAGATGAACAACAATCCAATGAAATTTACACACTCATGACTAAGTCAGAAACTAACTACATGGTTATGTTTTAAGCTGGGAGCAAACAACATCAAGTTAAATTACGTAGTTATGCTTATAGTTGGTGAGAAACATTGTCAAGTAACATGTACAGCATACTGACCAAGTCAGACACTAATTACATAGTTATAAGTAGAGGTGATGAAAAACAACAACCAATTTGATTTCCAGCACTGTGATCTTGTCAGAAATACAATTACTAACTATATGGTTATGCTTAGAGCACTCAATTACTTTGATTAGTGTCACAAAAATGATCAAATAATTGAAATTAGTTTCTAGTTATTACTGTTTTTGATTATTGCAACATCCATGTACCCTGGGAATGTTGCCATTATCATTTATTCTTTTTATTTTTGATTAATTCAAATTTGTTCACATTAATCAATAAGTGTCTCAATTCATTATAATTATCAACTAATCAAAATTACTGTTTTTTATTATTATTATTACTTGAAATATTAGCTATAACTGCTTCTTTTAGTGCGACAGTATGCGTGTTTTCTGCTTGTACACAACTCTTGAGTGTGAGGGTGTGGTCATTGGTTATAGTAATGTCTGTTGTTTGTATTTACCTTGCATGTCTAAATAATAGTGTAACTTAATATATTGCTTATTCATTGTTACTTAGAGTAAGATTGCTTTAATAAAAAAAAATTTATAGCAAGTTAATATTCATTATTCTTTATCTGGTCAAATATTTTATTGCTGTGTAACTTACTCATCTAACAATGTTTGCAGAAATTACTTCACATGGATTAGTAAAAGTCTAAAAATATAAAAAAAGGTAAAGTTGTTAACCTGTTTACAGAAACACAGCCATTGTTTAGTTGTCACTAGTTCTAGCTAAATAGGAAACACTGAAAACACACACCTTCTTGTTTGAAAGATTATGATGTTTTAATGCTTATAAAGTTAATTATTTTTTTAGTTTTTCTCACTGATGATGGAACTAGAAGCAAATTCTGCAACTTTTTTAAGTAAAGCTTTTTTCATGTTAGCAAGATTTTTGTTTTCCAATACAGTACTTCATTCCTCTCACAAGATTAGCTTTTCCCATTATGTGCTGCCCTCTATATGCAAACTTTTTTATAACTCATGCCACAAGCCTTCTGCACCCCCCTATTGGAATCGAATATTCCAACATGTCTCTCATGCAAATCATCGTGCATCATCCCTCCACCAATAAGAGAGCACTACTATCACGTGACGCATGTGACTCCCTCTATGCGCCAGTACTGAACCATCACTTCTCATTTGGTAGTGCTTGAGTTCAGATGTCTTTCTTTTTGCTCATTACTTCTGGTTTAATTTAATTTACTGGAGTCAGTGTTTTCCTCATATCCACAATTTTTGGGTTTGAGGTGAAGCCAGTATGATCCTCATCCTACCCTCGCGTGGAGGTCAGTACCCAGCGAGGAGGCTTTAAATATAGTTGACTTATCGAGTATGGTCTGTCGCACCCTAGCCATTCTACACCATGAAATACATCCTCCATTACTCACTTTAATTCTGTGGATTAAGTTTTTATATTTATCCAGTTGGGATTACTTTCCTGACTTATCTCCCACTCAGATGTGCTCTCTTCCTTTTCTGACATGTTTGTTCCCAGCTGTTTGTGGCAAAGAGATACCTGGTTCAGAAGTGGTGCAGTGCCCGTCCTCAGATCATCTGATGTCTTTCTCTCATCTACAGAAGTTTCATTTGTATGGTTTCAGGGGATATGTCTGTTCTTCCCTCTCACCAGTCCCTCCTCCTTTTCAATGTGGGATTCTATTTAATCTTGCGAGAGGAGGGAAGTACTATATCAGAACTTATAATTTTCCTGTACTGAAAATGTATTTCTTATAGGTACTTCCCTCATCTCACACTTCCCACCCTCATCCCCACAATCTTCAGGTGCTTACATCATCTGCCAAACTTCCAAGTTATGGTTCAGTAGTGGCACATAGAGGGTTTCACATGTGTCATGTGATAGTAGTGCTCTCCTATTGGTGGAGAGATAACACATGATGATTTGCATGATTCTAATAGGGGGTGTGTGTGGAAGGCTTGTAGCATGTGTTATAAAAAAACGTTTGCATACAGAGGGCAGCACAAAATGGGAAAAGCTAATCTTGTGAGAGGAGGGAAGTACCTATCAGAAATACATTTTCAGTAAAGGAATATTATAACTTTCTTATAATACTTCGAATATCATGCTATGAATCATTTTAATTTCTGCAAAGAAATTATTTAGTAACAACACAAGTTTTCTTGCTAAAGACTAAACATTGTACTTTGTTTTCTAGGATGGATGTAAATTTGTCTTACTGCATTATATATTATCTATCACATACCCTGACAAAAATCTTTACTAAATTTATTGCATGAAATTTAAGGACAATTATTTGAATGAAAATTGATTTACTTAGTTTTAGTTGAGTGATCTTATGAAAATTTGTGGGGAGAAACCCAAGGAAGAGTTTAATCATATTTCCAGCTTGTTACAGGTTTTGAAATACTTTGCACATATATAATACATTTTCATGTACAACAATTTAGGGTTAAAAAAGTAACTTAATTCTAAATTGTTGTGCCTGAAGATTTTTTATGACAGTTCAAACATGGCTTTAAAAATACAAAACAAACTGAAAATAGAAAGATTAGTTACTTTCATATGAGAGTAATCTATTAGTGGAATATATCGATTAATGAGCCCAATAATTAATCAGTTGTAATTATACTTTTGCTGTTTTTCTCAATTGAGCTGTACATATTGGCTCTTTGGCAACAGAAGTAGACTTAATACTTTCCCCCACGGTCCAAAAACATATTTGACTGGAAAGGTTTGGCCATCAGGAAAGAGTTTGTGAAGGGAACATTTTTTACATGGGTAGAAGTTTTAGCTGAACTGACTCATTGACATGCCATATGGAACACTGAAGTACCTAAGCTCTACTATTTAACAGAAACTGATATTGTTTTGCAGAATGATTGATATGGAGGAGTTAATATTACTAATGGCATAATTATTCAGACTATCATTCTCATCGTTATTATGTGTATTATTATCATTTTCAAAATGTTTTGACCAGCAAATTCTCTGGCCATCATCAGGTGTTATATTAGACATTTTTGTATGCGTCACAACCAGAAAGCTCTTTGTGTAATTTTGGAACAAGATAGAAATAAAACAAAAAATACCTTGCAGTATTAATCTGTCTGGAATAGTCTGTCATACCAGAAGAGATAATTTGATACAATGGAATAATGCTAAAGCAGTATATGAAGTAAAATTTCTCTCCAAATTTGAGAGTAATTTTGTAATAC